TGACTGTGATTTCTGCTGAAACATAAAGTAAAAGGCACTCTGAGTACGATGGAGGACTTCAGTGGTAATGTTATTTCTGATACCAGTAGTCGATGAGTCACTACGTGCAGGTCAGAAGACAGATGAAACGATGAAAGATTTCACCATGCTTTCTTTTTGAATTAATAGGGAAGATGCCTTCTATGCCCATCCAATTTTGTATTCAAAATGTTTTTTTCGTAGATGGATTTACTTTAAAGATAGATTTACCTCCATAAGCATATGTATCACGCTATGACCATTAGTGCTGACTGACCGTTTCAAGGTTCATCACCGTTTTTCAGTGATTAAGAAATTATGATCAACGGTTGATCTCCCAAAGATGGGCGCTCGAGATTGAACTCTGGGACAAGGTGAAGCCTAATGAGCAGCAGATGTTTAGACAAGGGAAAAAAAGAGAAGTTTGCAACTGTTGGAACGTCTGTCATTTTTATATTGTCATGGTGTGCAATTCTAGCGTCCTTCATTTCATGAAGTTTGGGTTACGATGCTGATCTCGCTTTTGTGCTATCAGTGAAGAGTACCTTGTTTTATAGGCAGAACCTACCGCAATGTGGCAGGCATAGTATGTGATCTCCTGTTTCATTCCCACAGAATAGTAGTCGATTCTGTACCTTGGAAGTAACATAGGTGAGTTGTTCTGTTACTAGAACCCTCTACTTCTTCGCTTTGGGTTTTACGTTCTAGCGACTGAGGAATCCCGATCTGAACCAGCGCGTGGTAAATTTCTTGCAGAAACAAATCCGTGGATAGGACAAAAGTTGCCTTCCTGCGGAAATGAATCCGGCACCTCCATCATTCAAAACAGAGTTTTTCTGCAGTGTGACCCCAGTTCACTTAGATACGTTGCTTATGACAATAGTTCTCACGTGATTAACAGATTCCTCTATTACCATGACTAAGTTATTCGTCTTTGTTCTTTTCTTTCAATGCCATTATCACTGATAAAAGTCAGTTATCTAACATAGATGCAATACCGATGTGTAGCCGCTGAAGAGTATGCAGAGTATTTTCCAGACCTTTCTTCTTCTTCTTCTTCATCTTCCATCGCCGCTTCTCCTTTCGGGTCGCGGAGGCAGAGGCGTCAGAGAGAGCTTCCAATGTTCCCGATCCTGTGTCTGAGTCTGAGCTTCGGCAAAAGATAAATGGAGTCTGGAACAGACCCCTTCCATATATTTCCAGACCTTTCTTCACTTTAATAATCTGTGAAACGAACGAGTTGTTAAAAACTACCGTGTGAGTATTTTCGTAAGATTTGTTTCATAAAGGACAGCATCTAGTTTTCACGTTTCATTGTCCCGCTAAGAAGCGATTCTGTTGCTTACTCAACACAGTTGTTATATAAGTCAGGGATTCTATCAAACGCCACTGCAACAGGCAAGAGTGGCTGCGTGTTCTAAAGATTG